GAAAGCTTGGGGTGGGTTTTGAATCTGGAGAAGTCCTGCCTGGTGCCTTCTCAGAAGGTGATTTACTGGGCTACACTCTAGACTCGGTAGACCAAAAGACCAGCCTGACTTTGGAAAAGGTCACCAAGTTGGAGGCCGGAGTCAGATTACTGCAGGGGAGCAGGTCGATGTCCATAAGACAGGCCATGTCGGTACTTGGATTGCTGACAGCGTCCATTCCGGCAGTTCAGTGGGCAGGTCTGCATATGCGTCCCCTCCAGTTGTGGATCCTGAGGGTTTGGGACAGGAAGTGTCACTCCCTAGAACGCAGGGTCTTGGTGCCCCCCAGTGTGAAAAGGTCTCTATGGTGGTGGAGGAGATCGTCCAGCATAACTCAGGGGCTGTTGTGGTGCTTTCCGATTTCCGCGGAGGTCACTACGGATGCCAGCGCCAGGGGCTGGGGAGCCCACCTGGGAAATTTGGTGACTCAGGGGGAATGGTCCTTAGGGCAGAAGGACAAATCCTCGAATTGGAAGGAATTGAGGGCAGTGTGGGAGGCTCTGCACTCCTTCCAGGCGGAGGTCAGGGGCCGGCACGTGCGTGTCCTGACGGACAATGCCACGGCAGTGGCTTATATAAACAGGCAGGGAGGGACGCGGAGCAAGGCCCTCGGGGCCTTAGCGGCGACACTGTTGTCCTGGGCAGAACTGAATTTGGCGTCCCTGTCTGCGATACACTTAAAGGGGGAGCTGAACCAGAAGGCAGACTTCCTGAGCAGGACTCGGCTCAGGGAGTCGGAATGGGCCTTGAACCCCGATGTCTTTCAGGAGATTGTGCGAAGGTGGGGATCCCCGGAGGTGGACCTTTTTGCCTCCGGAAAGGAACAACAAGGTCCCAAATTTCTTCTCTCTATCCCGCTGGGACGGGTCCAGAGCGGTGGACGCATTAGGTCAGAGGTGGGACTACCGGCTTTGTTACGCCTTTCCCCCGGTTCCTTTGCTCCCCCTGGTCCTGAGGAAATTCAGGACAGAGGGGACCTCGTTAATACTGATAGCTCCCTTCTGGCCGCGGCGGGCGTGGTTTGCGACCCTGAAGAGTTTGGCCTCTCGTCCACCCTGGGAGCTGCCTCCAAGAGTGGATTTGTTAACACAGGGGGCCGGTTCTTTGCCCCAGCATAGGAAGATTGCGGTTAACGGCCTGGTTTCTGAGCAGCAGCTCCTCTTAAAAAAGGGGTTCTCGCCTAGGGTGGTGGCGACATTACTGGCCAGTAGGAAGGAGGAGACCCAGGCCATTTATGGTAGGGTCTGGGGTTGCTTTACAGCCTGGTGTGACCGGACAGCTGTGGCAACCCATAGTTTGGTTTCTGTGCTGTGTTGGAATTCCTGCAGGCGGGAGCGGACAAGGGATTGTCTGTCAGCACGCTCAAGGGCCAGGTCTCGGCCCTCAGTGTGTTCTTGGAGACGCCCCTGGCCAGGGAGGCGTTGGTGAGTAGGTTTTTCAAAGCTCTGGTGAGGCAGAGGCCTCCGAGGTCCAGACCATTTCCAGTGTGGGATTTGGCCAAGGTGCTCGGGGGGATGACTAGAGCTCCATTCGAGCCCTTGGAGTCCTGTCCGATAGGTGAGCTCACCATTAAGACTGCTTTTCTGGTGGCGATTACCACGGCGAGGAGGGTGTGTGAGATGGAGGCCCTCTCGATCAGAACACCCTATCTCCGTATTTTTTCAGACAGGATCGTTTTCAGACCAGACCCGTCCTTCATCATCCGAAGGTAGCTCGGAGTTTCCAGAGGGAACAGGACATTGTCCTTCCCTCATTTTTTCCTGACCCGGTGGGGGTAGATCAGGAGAGGTATCACTGTTTAGATGTCAGAAGGTGCGTTCTCCATATCTAGAGAAATCTAGGGAGTTCAGAAGCACCGAATCCCTTTTTGTTTTTTTTAAGGGGGCTAGAAGAGGCAAGAAGGCGTCTAGAAGGACGCTGGCCAGCTGGCTGCGGCTGGCGATTACAGGAGCATATCAGGCAGAAGGCCTGGAGGTCCCGGAGGGTATCAAGGCACATTCCACCCGAGCTGTGGCGGCTACCCAGGCAGAGTTAGCAGGGGTTTCCCCAGGGCAGATTTGCAGAGCGGCAACATGGTCCAGCTATGACACATTTGCCAAGCATTACAGACTGGACCTGGTCTCGGTGCAGGAGCAGGACTTTGGTCGTAAGGTCTTACAAGCAGTTAGCCCGCCCGAAGGGTGAGTACTCGCTTATCCTCTCAGAGTGCTGGCCTGAAAGACGGTAGGGGAAAAACCAAGTTACACTTACGGTAACGTCTTTTCCAGGAGTCTTTCAGGCCAGCACCGGTTTCCCACCCACTGTTGATATTGGTTATGTGAAGATGGCTTATTATGATTATGTTGTCTCGCATTGTGTCTCCCCAGATGACCGGAGGATGCTTGGAGAACTGAGGTCAGAGGGGAGTGGAGCTTTTTTATTGTAGGTGGAGGTGTTTCCTCAGATGGGGAGGAGCCGAGGTCTCTCAGAGTGCTGGCCTGAAAGACTCCTGGAAAAGACGTTACCGTAAGTGTAACTTGGTTTTTTTTTTTTTCTTTAAAAGGGTCAGGGACTTTCGTGAATGCAAAAAATAACATTTTTGGTTCTATAGACTTCAATGAAAACACTGCATAAAAGCATGTAGTGCTTTTTTTACTGCACCTAGCAACAAGGAAAGAAAAAAATATGCGGCACAAATGCAGGTGCAAAACGCAATGCAGAAACTGCTCAAACACGACCTGCATAAACCTGGCCTTACTGCCTGGATCACCAGGTGAAAATTGAGGAAATAAAACCTAAAAAAGAAAACTAACTCAGCCATCACATCTAAGAATTGGTAAACTGTAATATAACGGTTTCCTTTTTGGGGTTAATACTGCTTTACTCTATTTTGGGTGTTGACTAGGATAAATGACACTAGATTTTTCCATACTACAGGGTGTGGAAATTTTTGGAAATGCTTGTCCAGGGACTAAATTGGGGTCCCAATCTACTTGTCCAGCATGACCATCTACTTGTCCAGATAAAGACAAATTTTACCAAAACCATATTTAGATCTGAGGTGCGTTTAGGAATGTCTTGGACTTTATGGCGACTTAAACATTTTATTTTAATTTTTTTTTTTTTTTTTTTTTTTTTAACATTGCAGTTTATCTCTTCCCCTCCCTGCCTGTCTCCAGCACCGCACAAGGGTACTTGCAGGGAGGAGAGACATTGCAGTGAAGTGAGCACTGATTAAGTGCTCCTCAAGAAAGGAGTGTCCAGCTTATCCTTTATCCCTGTTGCTGCCAGAGCCGATTTTGCATGTTTAACAGATAATTTTAGGCTTTAAGATTACACAAAACCCCCAAACATTAAATATTTACTAAGAGTCCCTTGAGAATAAAATATTGGTAGTTCAAATTTTTCATGTCGCACAATATTACTGCAAAGGTCTAGGAAATGCGAAATTTCCGTTAAAAAAAATACACAAGTTAATTTTAGGGCACAAAAAGTAATTACCCTATTTTTCTGGTAAAATATAAGACGAGGGTGCACGAGTAAATAGATATCCAACATGTCAAACCTTAAATTTGTGTGCACTCGTGAAATGGCAGCAAACTTTAGCACCCTATATTTTCTGTAGGCGACCCTTTTAAAGCCCTTATAGGTCATCCGTGTAGTGTTAGAGGATGTCTTGTGCTAGAATTATTGCTCTCATTCTGGCGTGCGCATCAATATGTAACGTATCGCAATCAACATTTTCATGCGTAGGCACCCCAGCGAGTGCATTTACGTTTGTATGTGTGGGAGTCTCAAATTTTTTTGAGATGTTATGTAATTGGGTGTTACAATTAAATAATTTTTTTTTTTTTTTTATTTAATCACATGGGACAAAGTCACCTATGTTGTTGGTGACAGGTCCTCTTGAGACATCCAGGGTCTAAAAGACCCTTCATGTTGCTCCTGAATGTAATGCAGTGTACTTCACACTGCATTACATTCTTTCCTGGCCTCAATGGCCATGAAATTTGTGAATGGGGAAGTGACGACATAACGTCGCTTCTGGGTCAGAACAAGAAGGGGAGGGGTGCCGAGGTGTCTGCTCTCCTCCCTCCCCTTTAGCCATTGGCACACGCTGAACCAGTCCTGGGCCCGCAAGTGGAGCCCGGGAGACATAGCGGGAGGGGGGAGATTTGCATGGGAGGGGGTGGAGGTTGGCAACGTAGTGGGCTGTAGGAAAGCAATCGGGCGGTAACGGAATCGCCTGAATGCTTCCATCTGAAAGGTGAGCCCTGCTGCTTGCCTGCAGCAGGGCTAAAGGTTGGAAAAAAAACTACCTGCCCGGCGCCCAGAACTACAAGTCTTGGCGTCCGATACAAATTCAACATCCCTGTACTAGTTCCCCCTGGTGACTTGACTTGCTTTTGCTGACCTTTTAGTTTTTTGCTTTGTTTTAAAGTGTTACTAAACCCACAACAGTAAAATCAGTCTGTATATGCCGTAAAGCATGCTTCTTATACTCACTGTGGAACCTAAGGGGTTAATCCTCTGGCGTGAAGGCCATTTGATCCTGACTTCTCTGCCCCTCTTCTTCAAATGACCACCTGATGACAGACTGAACCCATAGCCACATGCTCAGTTTAGTGTGTATTGAGGGTTTTTTCTTGGGAGAGTGCATGTGATCAGCACAGGGCCAATCGGCACTTTCCAGACAGAGGTCAGGGGTTTTGCATCCTCCTAGAGCAGAAATAAAACTCCTAAAGCTTTAACCAGTGCTCTACTACACTGATAGAAGTCACAAGATTGCTCTAACCGCTGATGAGAAAAGGTATTTAGCAGTTTATATTTACTAAAATTGCATTTCCATGTTCTGTGTACTGTGGGAGACCAGATATAGTGAATGCAGGGTCCGGGGAGACCAGATATAGTGAATGCAGGGTCCTGGGTTTAGTAACACTTTAATGTCTATATATATTTTATTTTATTTTTTTCCCCCTCAGACCTCAACCACCATCTCGCTGGTCTCAGGGACGAAAACGCCGCTCTGATGGTAACCTTAGAAGACGTAATGACGACGACTCCACTGTCTTTGATGAAAAACCTCCCCAAGACAAGCGTCCTGACAGGTACCGTACGTTTTTTTTTCATGCCTGGCAACAATATGGCTTGGATGTTTCTGGTTCTGAGGTGGTTGTAGCAGAAAATATCTTGTGCGGTATGAACAAGTAACTGTTGTATAAAAGCTTGCTCCACCTTAATCTGATGAGGAGAAAGGGCTGATCTTGCATACTGTGGTACAAAACTGGGAATGTCTTGGAACCAGTCACTTATGGAGTCGCAGAGTTCAGAGGGTGTCTTGTTCAGTCTGTTCCGTCCTTCCAAAATAAATTTTGATTTTGATGAAGTGAATCATTCTGAGACTTTTACTCTGAACTATTTTAATACTAATGCAATAAAAGCAGAACAAGCGAGCACACGGTTAGACACAAACCAGCTGGCATACAAGGATGTACCCCTATATCCTCAAACATATAAAAAATGTGAAATGCAGCGCTATAAAATATAATAAAAACAAGGCACTGGTGCATAAATGTATAAGTGACAATAGTGGCAAATACAAAGTGAGGTGCTTAAATTTAAGCACTGACGTGAATGATATTCCATAAGTGTCTCGCAAGTAGGTAACGAGAAAGTGATATTAATGAAGTGACAATGGTGAACAGTCCAGTATAAATATGATCATTCAAGAAAAAAAAAATGGCAAAAACAGCAGAAACTGTCCAAATCTCTTCCATGAATAAGTGAGTGACTCTGTGCTAGGTAATGCTGTATGAATGCACTCACCAGAAGCGCATATTAAATACACATAATATATCCAGCTCCTCCACAGGTAGGGAAAACTTCCATCAGTAGGTATGGAGACAGGGAAACACCCCACTGGCTTCTCACAGCATTACAGGGAAGACTTCAAACACCACCACTGGCCTCTAACTGCATTACAGGGATGGCTCAGGGTACCTCTCCATGGACAGGGCCAGCAGAAACAATATATTCCACTGGTAAATTTGCTAAACCTGGAGGGTACAAAACCTGGTGCAGCTGTATATGGTAGCCAATTACCTTCTAACTTCAGCTTGTTCAGTTAAGATTTGACATGCTAAGTTGAAGTCCTCATTTCTCTTCTGTCATGAAAAACCAATAAACACGGTAATATGTGGGATAATCATTTACATTTTCTAAGATGACTGCAGGTACATGTAAATGTGGTTCTAAAAGCCTAAATATTTTTACTTAAATACATTTTTCTTTAAGGTAAAAAAAAAAAGTTTAGGCATAGGTATTGGCCCCTTGTACCTACCTGAGCTTTCGATCAGCTCAGTGCACAACTGCGGCTCTTATTTCTCCTCACTTCCGGTCACTGGCTTTGCTGAGGCAGTGGGAGCCATTAACTTCCTCTGCTCTCAATCAAAGCCAGTGACTAGGTAGCAGAGCTGACTCCCCACTGTCTCAGTAGACAGACTGTGAGGCTCAGGAGCAAGTTTTCATGGGTGCCCCATGTGAAGCTGCTCCCTATTGGGGGTACTCCAAAGAGGAGGAGCCAGGAGTGCCAGCTGCAGACCAGAGGAGGAGGTTCAGGGCTGCTCTGTGCAATTCCATTTGCAGAGAGCAGGTATGTATGGACATTTTTAAGCTTTTTTTTTTTTTCTTCAACCACTTTCACTGCATCTGAACCACATCTACCTTGCACCTGTGCAGAGACCATACCCTTCCTACCCCCACTGCTGTCAGTCAGAGCCAGTGATGAGGAAGTGGGGCTACTGTCTGTCAATAGATACAGACTGAGACTCGGGAGTTAGCCCGCACGAGTGCCCCCTTAGAGGCTTCCTATTGGGGACACTAGTCAGGAGGAGGAGCTCCACTGGGGGACCTGATAAGAGGAGGTTCAGGGCCATTTGTACAGAGCAGGTAAGTATAGACTTATTTATAAGGGATCACATACCTTCTGTTCTCAGTTGCATAAGAACTGAGGGGAGGAGAAAGCAGCACACTGAACTTCTCAGTTAAAAGGCTGTGCAGAGGGGCAGCATGTCGGATCAAGTCCTCATTGGAGGAGAGCAGACTGAGTTCTCAGCACAGCCAGAATACAGACCACACTGCGCTCCCATGCTTGGTGTGGTCAGTTTTTAATAGGAAAGCAGAGGGACTGGCAGGAACACCAGGGATTTCACACAGGAAGTAATGCAGAGAACAGGATATTCATTCATGTACATGGTACAGCAGGTGCAAATTGGGAATATTGGGTTTACATATTTAAATGGTTGATGTGTAGAATTATCTTTAGCTGGATAAATGAGGACCTGCATGTATCACTATGATCATTCAGTATGGTTAATATGAGAATTTTAAACCCAAGACGTGCAATTTGATCAATTTAGTAAGCTGTTTTGGTGGACTTTTTGCATACGTTTGTGATTTTAGTAACTACCTAAATGTGTTTAGAAAACCGATGTAATATCAATTAAATGATTGCTTCAGTTTTTCTTGCGGTCCATCATTGGGGATTGTAATCACTGATAACTGCTCGCTTGCACTTAGAGAAATAGCAAATCGATGGGAATAGCTAAAGCAGCATTTAATTATAGGTAGCATCAGTAGCTGCAGGCCGGCTTCTCTAAAGACAACTAAGGGCATGGCAGCACCTCTCTGCCTCCTGACTGCTTTTTTTTTTTTTTTTTTTTTTTCTTGGACCAAAAAGACTCATTTATTTTATTTTGCACAAAACGATAAGTGTCTGTTTTAAAGTCTACTATATATTTTAGCATCTGCTTGAAAGTGTAGCACAGAATGGGGTACATTATTCCCTCATTTGCTTGATCTGCTAGGCTGACTTCTCGACGTTCCTTTCCTACCAGCTTCACCACCCCAGAAAGCCATAGGCCTGTGCCAAGATGTAAGGACTGGGGGTCAGCGGTGGAGGAAGAAGAAATCTTGAAAGAAACTGTAGAAAAAGATTTGGCCCGGTAAGTAAGAAATGCTATCTATAGACACTGCTGGGTATGTTTAGTTATTGGGTGCTTCCTGTGCAGGGGAAAAACTATGGTAATCTGTTTGTTCAACTGTGTTTTAGTTGGCTGTAAAGGCATTTTGTGTTTATCCAGTTGATGTAAGGTGCTAATTGCTCTGCCCTCATGGCCTACACTTGCCTCCTCTAGGTAACTTTGATGAAACTGAGTCATACTTTTTTCCTTTTTACATGATTGAGGAGGTAGCAGAGCCCAAATATACAATTTAAAGGAGTGCTCAATATTGTCTCCACCTGTATTTAAGGTGCAAAATGTTGCCAAGCACCCCAGCCCTTCACCCCTTGCGGCCTCCTAGAGATCTGTGAATAAACCACAAGTCCTGTCAGTCATTGCGAAAGTTGGCCTTTTAGTTCTCAATGGAAAAGTATGCTGATTGACATGCTTGTAGTTCATTGACACTTCTACAGCTCCATAACTGAAAGCCTATTAATGACACCCCAAAAACGATTCGTAGAAAGCCCCCAAGTGCAGAACATTACATTTATCAACATTAAATTTTATTGCCACATAGTTGCCCAATTACACAGAGCATTGAGGTTGGCTTGTAAGTTGGAGACATCCTGTAAGGACGTTATTCCACGGCACAGCTTGGTGTCATCTGCAAAGACTGAAATGGGATTTATAATCCCAGACCCTTTATTGTTTATAAATATATTAAAAAGTAATAGTCCCAACACTGAACCTTGGGGTACACCACTGACAACCCTAGACCATTACATTATCCGTGTGTGGGGAACTGTGTCAAACGCTTTTGTAAAGTCCAAGTATACCATGTCCACCGCCACCCCCCTCTGTCCAAGTATACCACGTCCACCGCCACCCCTCTGTCCAAGTATACCACGTCCACCGCCACCACCACGTCCACCGCCACCCCTCTGTCCAAGTATACCATGTCCACCGCCACCCCTCTGTCCAAGTAAGTATACCATGTCCACCGCCACCCCTCTGTCCAAGTATACCACGTCCACCGCCACCCCTCTGTCCAAGTATACCCACGCCACCCCCTCCCACCACCGCCACCCCTCTGTCCAAGTATACCACGTCCACCGCCACCCCTCTGTCCAAGGTTTTGCTCACCTCCTCCATGCTGTCGCTTAAAATATTTTTTTCCGGCAAGAACTCCTCTGTGGTCTTTTATTAAACTCTCCAGTATCTTCCCAACTATAGAAGTTAAACGAACAGGTCTATAATTACTTGGTAAAGATTTTGGCCTTTTTAAATTGGTTAGTAAACTTACAGAAAGGACCAAACATCTGCAACATTACTTAGTAGACAGATGAACCGTATGTGGAACCGTTTCCTAAATTATTTTTTTGTCATTTGTAAACGTGTTTTTATATGATCTGTTGGCTAGAAGTGACATTTGGTTCTTGACTTCGGATATAGTTGTGTCCATCCCTTTTAAATAAAATAGTGGAGATCACAGTACATATTGAAGGAGAGCCAGCAAGGCTCCTGCTGAACATGGATTTATTTTTAGTTCCTTATCTACAGTATTCTGTAAGCAGTGCTGTGTAAATGATCTCCCCAGCAGTGACTAGATCTCTGCGCAAACATTCTGTAGGTGTAGGCGATGTTTGCCTGTGTTGGGGTTTTTTGTTATGTTGAAACGTCTCTTGCTTTATCTTCAGATACAGAAGAAAGCTGCTTATTAATGATTTTGTGCCAAGAGAAAGAAGATCGTCTTCTGGAAGGTAATGCAGAGATTACTTTGAGACATGGTAAACTGAAGTGCTTTCCGCTGTGTGGATTAAACACCTGCCTTGGCAAACTGGTATTTGGCTTTCCATAAAGACAATTACTAGCTTGGTGAGCATTGGAAGTTAAGAATTCTCACCTCTGATTGAAAATAAAGCTGAACTTTTTTCCAGCCAAGCATCATAGCCTCTGTTTAAACGAACTGCTATGGTGCTGCACATGTGATCAGTTCTCTTACCAGCTATTTGATGGTTTCTCAGTTTAGTTGAGAGCACAAGCAACTGACAGCTGCCGGCAATAGAACTTTTGTTAAATCGATGGATTTAGTTCAGCTTTTCCTATGCTGTTGCTCTCGCTGCTTTAGCACCACCTTTAGTGTAACTCCTAGCTCTGTGATTTTATGCATTTTTCTATTGAGAGAAAATCATGTTGACATGCATTTTGACGTGTTTATATTTAAAATAAAATGCATTCAGTATGGTGTAACATGCATATTTTAATTGATTTCCTGAGATTTTCAACCACTTTTTTGACCTTTTTTTCTGGCGATTTTGTTTACATATATATGGGTTCTAAAATTTTCTAGCAAAAAATACTGTTATATTTATATATTTTTTACAGAGAATATTTAAGTGTTGCAATTTTTTATGCCACATGTGTGCAGCAGTTTTTTGGGGTTTTTTTTGTAAACTTTGTTTCCAAAAAACTCAATACATAACCCAACTTTTTGGTAAGATCTATTACAGTAAGTAAATACCCAACATGTCACACTTTAAAATTGCACACTGCCATGCAACGGCGACCATACATTTTACTATCCATAGGCGATGCTTTAAAAGCCTTTTTTGGGTTACCACTTTAAATTTATACAGGAGGTCTGGTGCTCGAATTTACTGCCCATGATCAGACGTTTGTGGTGATACCTCACATGTGACGATCGCTGTTTGCATGTGTGCAGGCCCGACGGTTTTCTTTTTTCTTTTTTTTTTTTTTAATTTGTGTCGCACAGAATGTAAACAACCCTTGTTACAGCAATAGGCAGTGACTGGTACTCTTTATAGAGAGATTTGGGTCCCTTAAAAGCACTTGATCACACCAAGATCAGTGTATGCTTGTCACTTCTGGTTTCCTATATAATAGAGATGACTAGAGCAGTTCCTGTGTTTGCTCGTCTCTATGATCAGCCAGCAGAAGTGCCAGCTGGTCAATTGGCTGCCCTGGTGGGATGGGACACCCTGAGAAAGCAGCAGAGTGGGAAGTTCTGTAGTCCACATCTACATTTTCTTTCAAACATAACTACATTGGGTGACTTCATACGTACCTTTTCTATAAGATCTCCTCTATTCACAGCTCTGATTCCAAAGATTCTTCCACTCATGGTGAAATGGAAACAGACCCATCTGTCCTTGCCAGAAGACAGAAGCAGATAAACTATGGAAAAAACACAATCGCCTACGACAGATATACACAAGAAGTTCCAAGGTGTGACTTTGATTTATAACCTAATACAATAAGGAAGACATTATATAAATTATGCTTTCACAAAAATGTAAATTGTAAAAATTATTCTAGTGCTGTGTTGTATGTGTTTACATTAAATTCTGCAATGTTGAGTTTACACGCATAAACAGCTGATTCTAAAGGGAACTTTGTGGTGAGGATTGTGTGATTTTTCTGTGTCCCAGCTAGGGAGATTCTCTTGAATAGTCCTGATCACCAAGGAATAAAAGCAAGGGTATATCAAAATTATAGAGGGGACATCTTCAATGAGGACATACTCACCGGCCACTTTTAGATACAGCTTGCTGGTGCCAAAAATCTCCCCCACACCGTTACACCACCAGCCTGAACTGTTGATACAAGGCAGGATGGATCCGTACTTTCATGTTTACACCAAATTCTGACCCTACCATCTGAATGTCGCAGCAAACCAGTCTGCCCATTCTGACATCAAGGCATGTTTGTCCACACAACTGCCACTTGCTGGATATTTTCTCTTTTTCAGACCATTCTCTGTAAACCCTAGAGATGGCTGTGCCTGAAAATCCCGGTAGATCAGCAGTTTTTTTTAAATACTCAGACCAGCCCGTCTGGCACCAACAACCATGCCATGTTCAATCCACATAAATCCCCTTTCTTTCCCTTTCTGATGCTCTGTTTGAACTTCAAGTAATGTTCACCATGTCTAAATGCCTAAATGCATTGAGTTGCTGCCATGTGATTGGCTGATTAGCAATTTGTGTTACCAAGCAATTGAACCGCTGTACCTAATAAAGAGGCCAGTGAGTGTATGTCCCTGTGACAGTGAGAAGGGAGTTTCCCTCACATTGAACTGTATCTTCACTTCCTAGTAGGTGTAAAGGACAGGAAGTGTAGGAAAATCTCCCTAACGAGACATGGATGGCAAAACAGTTTAGCCAAATCTGGCATGTCCAGAAAGTTACAAAAGTGACTTCTCCTGAATATGTTCATGAGGCTATCTTAGGTGGACCATCAATAAGGACTGTCGTAGCTAAAGAAGCCAGCCTCCTAGCCAAATGCTTTACCAGCCTCCTAGCCAAATACTTTACCAGCCTCCTAGCCAAATGCTTTACCAGCCTCCTAGCCAAATGCTTTACCAGCCTCCTAGCCAAATGCTTTACCAGCCTCCTAGCCAAATGCTTTACCAGCCTCCTAGCCAAATGCTTTACCAGCCTCCTAGCCAAATGCTTTACCAGCCTCCTAGCCAAATGCTTTACCAGCCTCCTAGCCAAATGCTTTACCAGCCTCCTAGCCAAATGCTTTACCAGCCTCCTAGCCAAATGCTTTACCAGCCCTGTCAAAGTAAATTGCTCATGAAGCACAGAACTGAATTTTTTTTTTTTTTTTTTTTTTTTTTTTTAATGCTTGGTATGTTTGCACACCCAATTTTATTCACTTGAAATGTGCTTTACAAATTAGACTACTCCAGAATCCATTCTCTAGTACAGCCCCCTCCCATCCAAGATGGGCTGCATCATCCAGCAGTATCAGGGGAACACCCCCCCCCCCCCCCCACTTGTTGAGACCCGTTGCGATCCATGTGCACAAGAGCCTTGGCTCTCTGGGGACTTCCTCCTAGTTTAAGACAGCAGCAGGGGCCATTGGCTCCCACTGCTATCTCTCAGAAAATGAGACCAGGTGTTACTGAACTGCAGCTCTGTGTGAATGGACATGCAGAGCAGAAGCTTGGTAGTGAGTCTGCTTGGGTGGCCCCATAGCAAGCTTCTTGTTCTGGGGGCAGAAGGGAGTGGCCAGGAGTGCCCATGGGAGACCTGAGAAGGTTTGGGGCTGCTCTGTGCAAAACCACTGCACAAAGCAGGTAAGTATGACATTGTTTCTTTTTAACCATTTGCCTACTGGGCACTTATACCCCCTTCCTGCCCAGGCAAATTTTCAGCTTTCAGCGCTGTCGCACTTTGAATTACAATTGTATGGTCATGCAACAGTACCCATATGTAATTTTTTATTACTTTTTTTTTTTCACACAAATCGAGCTTTCTTTTGGTGGAATTTAATCGCCACTGGATGTTATTTTTTTGCACTAGAAACAAAAGTGCAAAAAATTAGAGTTTTTCTTTTGTTATAAAATTTTGCAAATAGGTGGCACTGCTGGGCACTGATCATCATTGCTGATCTGTTTTCTGACAATTGCCAGTTATGATCAGCACTTTCCTCGCGCTGTGATAGGGTGAAGAAAGTGCAGCCGATAACCAGCAACTGCATTTACCCAGTGATCTGCTGTGTCGTTGGACACAGTTGATCACATTGTAAAAGGCCACTGTCATTGATCAGCTATGTCCATAGAACAGACCGGTCACGGAGATCACCGGGGGTGCGCAGGAGGGCACGTTCTGGGAGGACGTCGCATGACTCCCTCCCAGCACTGGACAACCGTGCTGTAGCTGTCATTCGGCTATAGCGCTGCTACCAAGTGGTTAAACAAAATTGCCATTAATATTACTTTAATGCACATAACCATTTTGGTTGTAGCGTTGCATGACTGCGCAATTGTCAGTTAAAGTAACGCAGCACCGTAAAGCAAAAAATGGCCTGGTCAGGAAGGAGTAAATCCTCAGGGGGGCAAGTGGTTTAAATTGATTTTGGACAGGAGAATTTACAAACAGCTGTCTGGTATGAAAGGATTCTATATAATCCATCTTTTTTTATCTGGTAAACTTTGCCAAGCTCAAAGGGAAGCTATAATGGTTAACAGTCTTGTTTTTTTTTTTTTTTTTTTTTTCTTTTAACTTTGGTTCACTCTAGATGTAATTTGTGTAAAAGTATGCATTCAGTAGATTGGTGTGTAAACAGTGCTAAGCTATCAGACAGCACAGCAGCTTGGTTGGTTTGATAGAAACCTAGAATTTGGCTTTCTTAAAACTGAAGTCTGCTGTGAGTTCTGTCGAGAGGCTGCTTTCATTGTTGTATCCACGCAGATACAATGCTAAACCTGGAAGAGACAGCGCCACCTTAAGGCTCCAAGTAGGAATGGTGATCGCAAACCCATTTTTACCTGAAACTTTATGTGATAAAGGGATGCGTAGTAGTTTTAACATTTACTTTAAGCGTGTCCAGACTATAAAGTGGTATACGTGACATTTGAATTTTTTTTTTTTTTTCATTTTTTTTCCCCCATGTTGCTTCGTATGTTGCATCTCTTTAACTCTTTGCTTTTTTGTTTAGACACATGAGGCAGCAAGGTGTTCATCCGCGAACCCCTAACAAGTTCAAAAAATACAGCCGCAGGTCATGGGACCAGCAGATCAAGATTTGGCGAATTTCTCTACATGCATGGGATCCTCCTACTGAGGAAGGCAATGAACTTCAGCCATTGTAAGTCTAATCTCTGTACAGAATTATATGCTTTGTGGGTCATCACTTATAACCATGTGGTGATGGCATCAAGCCTAGCTTGTTGAGGGAGGGGGACAAGTTGTCATGGTGTAGACATTACACTTTAAGTGACAGTTGAGAGGTCTGACTTTTTATAGAGGAACTGTAGTCTGTTAATTTCCTTCAGTGGTCCAATGTCCCTTGCTGGCATTTTTTACCCTACCCTCTTGTAGCAAGAGACATTGCATGTGTCTTCTGCAATAAAGGGCCTGCTTGTAGTTTTTAAACTCCACTTTAAAAGTTCCCTTGCTCTAAATTTTTCATGGGGTTCTTTTTTTTGTTTAAAGTGTAATTACTGTATCTGGCACTGAAAACCCTATTTCCTAATGCTGGCAGCATTTCTGTGTTTATAGCCATAGGAGTCATCTGCTAGGACAGGGGTGTCAAACTCCATTTCATTGTGGGCCGTTGTCACTACGGTTCCCCTCAAAGGTTTGTTGTATCTGTAACACTAATGTCTAGAGCACCCCTCCTTACAGCAAATGTCAAGAGTCCCCCACCCTCACATCACAGTGCACCCCTCTTAAAGAGCGGAGTTCCACTCACCTGTCTCACAATCCTGCCTTGCCCCCGCCGCAGCCAGTTTCATCGGCCATCCTGTATTCCAGGTGCCCAGCATCTTCATTGTGGGCACATGGCTGTGACAGCTTGTGGCTTCACAGCCGGGTGCCCACTGCACATGCGTGAATAGTGCTGCGCTTCCTGAATGGCCCTGTGGTCTTCTGGGACCTGTCGCGTGTCCCACAAGACTTCGGGGAGGGTAGGAGGACAACTTCAGTTTCCAATCGCCTAGGCCAGGGGTGGGCAACTGTAGCCCTCCAGCTGTTGTAGAACTAAGTCCCATAATGCATTATAAAAAATTACTGACAGTTACAAGCAGGACTCCCAAAGGCAGAGATATGATGGGACTTGTAATGCACCAACAGCTGAAGGGTCACAGTTGCCCACCAACAGCTGAAGGGCCACAGTTGCCCACCCCTGGCCTAGGCGATCGCAGCGGGAGTGGGAGCGGGTATCTGTCAAACTCAGGTACCCGCTTCCCAAAGGTGTCAATCCTTAATGGGGAGCGGGGGACCAATCTTTAAAGCGGAACTTCCCCTCTTGTGTGGAACTCCGCTTTAGCTTGTGCTGCTGCTGGGGGCAGAGCTGAGAACGGGAAAGTGCAGTGTTTGGAGGAAAGCTAGAGTCTGCTAAATGCTGAGACCAGGGGAGGCAGAGATTAGGGGGTCCTACGGCTGCACTGAGGTGCAGGATCTGTTGGAGTTTTGTCCTCTGCTGCTAAATGCAGGGAAGGTTGGGTGGAGATGGGGGCGGGGGGTGTTGCACCTGCAGTAGAGGTGTAAGGGCCACAATAAATGGCATGAGATTTGGCCTTTGGGCCTTGGGTTTGACACATGTGCTAGAATGAATCAATTGGCACTTCTCTGCCAGTCTTTGTAGCTTTCCGTAGGTGGCAATGACAAACCTTGTAGAGTGTACTTGACAATTTCTGCAAAGCTTGTCTTTTAATTGTCCCTTACACATTGTGGGACATATGGCTTCCTCATAAGCACCTTTTTAGTCATTGTTTCCACAACAGCATTATGGCTTGTAGGACTGCTTTTAGTGGTTGTGTCAAAGGACAAATGCGGCTTGCTTCTAGGTGTATTCCTCCTATAACACTGTTCAACAGGTAAAAAGTTTTGGGCATAAAATTAGCTAATCTTACATAATTTTGGGGTGCTGAAAACGAAAATGACCCTAAAAAATGTTGATTGGCTCTAGTTTCCATGATATATTCACACCTCTATCTAATGATGTAAGCCATTCAAAATTATGATGCAACTTCAGCTGCATATTGCGCAATTGATACTGGTAACCAATAGAAAATTGCATGTATACTGAGATGATGCAATATTAGCCTTTAATTGCATCACTTCACTGCATAAAAGCTGCAGTATCTGTAGCTGATTGTAGTTCCACAGCGTCTTTACATTTCGTTTTATGCTTATATAGGCTACTCAGTAATGCCTCGAACTTGTGTGAATAAAGCAGATAATTTCTGCTATATCTGCGGTGAAATAACTTTTATTTCACAAAAAAGGAGGATAACAGGAATGATTAAGAAAGCCTACAACTTGTATTTTGGCTGCAAGATAGGAGACCAGGACAAGAGCTGGGCACCACATATATGCTGCAATTCTTGTGGGACGGCACTGGAGCAATGGTTTAATGGAAAAAAGGCATCTATGCCTTTCGCTGTGCCAATGATTTGGAGAGAGCCAACAGATCATGTTAGTAATTGTTTAACTTTTGTATGGTGCCTCCAATTGTAAAAGGGCTAAATAAGAAGAAAAAGTTATCTGTGCACTATCCAAATATTCCATCGGCAATACGTCCAGTTCCTCATGGAGAGGGGCTACCAATTCCTAAAGCACCAGAATCTTTCGTGGTTGAGTCAAGTGAGGAAGAACCTGAAGCGTGTAGTCACGTGCAGTTGTAAGAGATAGCCCTTTCCTCAAATACAAGAGAAAAGCCAAGAGAAGCAAAACCGACACAAACTGAAGACAAAACTAGTGAGAATCCTAAGTATTAAAATGATTCAACTTAGCTTATGGCTATAATTTTTCTTGGTAATCCTATGCAATATATTATGCCATTTAGGCTTTGTTATGTAGTCAACATCACTTGCTTTATATTTGTGGAAAGACATCTATCTATATAATTATTGTGCATTATGTAGTCATTACGCCTATAGTAGAAAACTTTCCGTTTACAGAAAAACTAGAGCCAATTGACAAATTTCATTGTTATATTTGAACTCAGAATGCGAAATTCATTAAGAAATGGATCCTTTTGTTTCCAAAACTGGCAAAAAATAAAAATTTGTTGAACAGTGTAATTAACATCAGTTGAGGTGCTTCTAATCAATGCGTTTGTCCTACAGTTGACCGAATTGAAATGCTGCTTTTCTGGTCTCACTGACTTAAATCGAGAAGCAGGTCTGATCCAAGTCAAGTTTATTCTGTATTTAGAAAGAATCTAGTGATGGCGTATCTTAAGCAGAAACACTTGGGCTAGGTTCACACCTATTTAGTTTGTGTTTGATCCGTTTCTGTGGTGTTTTGTGTTTTTTTGCTGCATTTTTCTTGTTACTAGGCAGATTAAAACACAGCAAAAACACTACATGCTTTTCTGCAGCATCCCTATTTTAAGACTATAGAACCAAAAACACAACATTTTGCGTTTTTAAAAAGTCCTTGACCCTTTCTAAACACGCACCGGTGAAAACACGGAGATGTGAACCTGTCCCGTAGGAAATCATGTTAAATGGAATGCTGTGGTTTCCGCAAAACGCAGCGGAAAACGCATAGGTGTGAATTTAGACTCAGTTGGGTTTTTTTTTTAGTCCAGTTGAGGCTTCTCTTAGATGCTTGTAGTGGTTGTTCCCTGTGGAAGATTTCCCTTGTCTCTTGTTCCAGAATTTACAATTTTGGACTTTATCACTCTTTCCAAGACAGTTTTTTTCACCTGGACGTTTTTAGTGTTTGTTGCTGTCTTACTACAGGAACTCATCCTGTCTTGCTACAGGAACTCATCCTGTCTTACTACAGGAACTCATCCTGTCTTACTACGGGATGAGTTCCTGTAGTAAGACGGGATGAGTTCCTGTAGTAAGACGGGATGAGTTCCTGTAGTAAGACGGGATGAGTTCCTGTAGTAAGACGGGATGAGTTCCTGTAGTAAGACGGGATGAGTTCCTGTAGTAAGACGGGATGAGTTCCTGTAGTAAGACGGGATGATCCTGTAGTAAGACGGGATGAGTTCCTGTAGTAAGACGGGATGAGTTCCTGTAGTAAGACGGGATGAGTTCCTGTAGTAAGACGGGATGAGTTCCTGTAGTAAGACGGGATGAGTTCCTGTAGTAAGACGGGATGAGTTCCTGTAGTAAGACGGGATGAGTTCCTGTAGTAAGACGGGATGAGTTCCTGTAGTAAGACGGGATGAGTTCCTGTAGTAAGACGGGATGAGTTCCTGTAGTAAGACGGGATGAGTTCCTGTAGTAAGACGGGATGAGTTCCTGTAGTAAGACGGGATGAGTTCCTGTAGTAAGACGGGATGAGTTCCTGTAGTAAGACGGGATGAGTTCCTGTAGTAAGACGGGATGAGTTCCTGTAGTAAGACGGGATGAGTTCCTGTAGTAAGACGGGATGAGTTCCTGTAGTAAGACGGGATGAGTTCCTGTAGTAAGACGGGATGAGTTCCTGTAGTAAGACGGGATGAGTTCCTACTACAGGAACTCATCCTAACAGGTTTAGCATTTTCCCCACTCTATCCAAACTTAAAAATAAAAAATAAAACTTTTTTTAAATGCAGCAAGCATGAGCCAAACTGTTTCTAGTTGATGTAGCTGGGAGTCTGACTTTGTTCACTGATTATAATTTTACACAGCAAGGCAATCCATGTTGCTACATGTCAGTACAGGAGGGAGTGCAACAGGTCTGCTGCACTTGATGACAATTTTTCAGAAGCTGATCAACATGGATTTGTTTTATTTTTACAGTAAGGAGGAGGACATGGTCTCGGAAGAAGAAAAAACTGAAGACATTTTGGTAAGTACTGCAGAATGTTTCCTCTTGCCTGACATTGTTTCCATGTTTCCTGAACAGGACATGGTTAAATGCTTGGTTTAACCCAGGGGTAGGCAACCTGCGGCTCTCTAGCTGTTGAAATACATTTCCCATGAGGCATTGCAACATTACAAAACTGACCGTTACAGCTATGACTTGTGGAGGCATGATGGAACTTGTAGTCCTGCAACAGCTGGAGAGCCGCAGGTTCCTACCCCTGGTTTAACCTCTTCACAACCGCCTACCCACAATATACTGGGGACGGGCAGCTGCTGTAGGCAAAGTGACGTATTGTACGTCACTTCCTACTTCCGCTGGCACCCGATGTGATTGT